CTCTTTAATAAAATTAATGAACATTACAAACAACATCATTACAACATAATAATAATAATAACAATAATAATAATAACAATAATAATAATAATAATAATAATAATGATAATAATAATAACATACAATCCTCATTTCCCGGTTAGTAATTTACCATACCCACCCCACCCCACTCCCCATATAGAAAACAATACGACATAGGGCTTATCTTATTTATAATTCCGGCCACACACGTGTGTTTGAAACTAAATATAAGCATTTTCATCATGGTTTTATTTATTACAAACATTCTTTCACCATCTATACACATTGAGGCCCTTTGTTTAGGTTAAAATGATCTATCTTAAATTTGTCTTTCTTGAGTTTGGGACTATTATGTGTTTAAATAACTTAAAAGGATAAAACTAAAAAAGCCCTAAAAAATGCGCGCCAAACGCGCAAAATATTTTTGTGTTTTTAATTCTAATTTTGTCGGGATTGATGAAAACTCCCTAAAATGTGCAATTTATAGAGGAAATTGGCCTACCGTAACAAGAAAGCCGCGAAAAGAATTTGAGAATTATAGGCACTTTCCAGGGGCGGATATGGGGGGGGCGGCCCAGGCCCCCCTCCCCTTTTGCCGCTGCCGGCGGCCTGCGAAGGTCGCGTACTAGTTTATTGTAGTTAGGCCTAGGAAGGTTAGTGATCTAGAGTGAACAAGAGATATTTCGTTTACAATGGTCAGGCACGGCAAACGTAATGAATAAGCCTACAATCTAGGCTACAACAATTAATACTCTCTTAACATATTCCTACAATTTCAATAAAAAGAAGTTATAATCCTGAGCGCATGTTTAGGTGTGGTGTGATGTCAAAAAGTGCATTGTCAGTCCGTAACGAACAGAAGCAACTACTGAATTTCCGCAAATATTTTTTACTGGGAATTGTTCTTCTTGTCTATACCACAGTATAATTAAAAAGCAAATGCAAATTGTGTTCACACCTAAAATTATGATGCATAACAAACAAAAATAATAAGATTGAACTGAAGCGCCTACCCTGGCATCCTAAGACCGAACCATTGTGTGCCCGGTGAAGCTTATTATAATAGTATTTAAACATGTGTATTATAACGGTTAGTGCACGTGTTTGAATATTAATATAATATTTAAACATGTTTTATAACGGTTAATACACGTTTAAATGTGGTAATGTTTAGGCATGTGTCTTTATAGTTATAATACAAAATGATTACCCTGCCGCAAAATGGACGGTTCTAAATCGCCCACGACTCAAGCACATGGGCTTCTCGTTCGTTTGTGACGTTGTGCACTGGCCGTGAGAGCGAGTAATCGTCTGTAGATCGTATGCAACTAATACCCATTTCACACTAGCAGAAAATATTACAACTTTTAACAATTATTAACAAGTTGTAACAAGTTTGATATTCCGATATTTTTGGTTTGTTTCACACATGCACTTTCAAACCATGAGAAATCTAGGAAGAATAATGACTAGGCCTAGAGTAGTACTAGTAGTAGGTGTTTCGACAACAAATTAATCTCAATGCTGTTTTCTCTTCGGACTTTTATTCAAACGTTGTTCGAAAACTATAATAAAATACAATAACAAAAAAATTATAACGATTAAAGACAATAATAATATAGTTCATAGCAGACAATTCCTAAAACGTTATTAGCGCCCTCTGGACGCTCTATTCATTGTGCGTATATACCGCCCTCAACTCATGTTAGAATTTCGCAGGGAAATTTCTCCTCACTGCAACAACAACGATCGGCAATTGATACTCAGCGACACCACACACTGCTTGCGGTGGCCTAAATCATCCTAGCTAGACCCCCTGAAATTCCGGGCTAACTTTTCTAACCCACTATATAAGAACAAATTCACATAGCTACACCTATATTAAGACTCAAACATGGTCTATAACTAAAATATCAACTGCTAATAATACTGATTATAATAAACTTACATTTTAGCCCATCTAAACAACAGAATTCGTTGCCAATCTCAATGAATACTCGTGTAGAAATACCATCTCATACTGGCAAATGCACGGACACCAAAATGTATGGGGTGCAAGTAATTTCGTCTTAACGAAACACTCCCCCACCAAAACCCCAATAACACGTCACATCCTAAACATTTAGATTGTTACCTCACATAGTATGTGCGTGCATAGTACTAAAGCTATCCAAGATTTACTCAAAATTCTTAATTAAAGCTAAGCAACTCTAAAAATGCTAAATCTAACAAACATCAAATGACAACAGTACGTCTAAAAAATTCCCATAAACATGATTTTACATAGTCAACGAACCTTATAGGTTTCGTATCCGGCTAACCTCAAATATTGAGTTTATCCTTATAAAGTGTACACTTAACATTAACGATCGCGGTTACAAAAAGAATACATTTTAACACTCAAATACTAATCAAATAATGCACAAAAGTTTCTTCAATAATAAAATGCCTATGTTTTTTACACCACTCGGCAATAGAAGTCGCAGCTTCTACTGTTCATCTACAGGAATCAGCAAGAGCAGCTGTTGTACTGCCCGATTTATCTTACTGATTATCCCGGTCTTAGTCACGGTTCTGATGCTCACGTTTCTCGTCAAACCTCTACTATCAGGAAACGTTTCAAACACAACACCAGTTTTCCACTTCCTTCGCTTCACTCCTCCTTCCTTTACCACCACGACGTCGCCGACTTTCATGTTCCTCTTCTCGGTGTGTCACTTTTGGCTTACAACTAACGTTGGAAAATAGCTTTGAGTCCATTTCTCCCAAAATTGCTCAATAAGCCTTCGTAAAAACTTCCATCACCTTGCGTGGCCTCCATCATCGCACCACGGACCACCGGGTGCCGCTTTAGTTGACCGACCCAACAGCAAGTCATTGGGACAAAGGTACGACTCATCTCTTGGGTCCGTAGGATGTTGTCCTATTGGTCCACTATTGAACACGTCACTCTATTAACACAGTTTGCAATTCCTCAAACGTCAAAATTTGTTCCCCAATTACGTGAAACAACGATTTATTCACGCCTCGAATTAGTGATTCTGTCACCCTATTCTGCCACAGCGATTCCAGAGCACTGAACGTCCACTTCACTCCATGCGATACTCCAAACTCTTTCAGGTTTTCACAAGCTGCAACAATCTGCGAGCCCCGATCTGAAAACTTTTCACGAGGATATCCTCTGGTCGCAGTGAATCTGCGGAATACTCTCAGAAATGCTTCAGTGCTGTAGTCAGTAGCTAGGTCAAGATAAACTGCTCTGGTCACCAAGCAATATCCTCTGGTCGCAGTGAATCTGCGGAAGACTCAGAAATGCTTCAGTGCTGTAGTCAGTAGCTAAGTCAAGATAAACTGCTCTGGTCACCAAGCAATCGAATATCACCCCATATGCTTTGCCGTGTACCCGTTTCTGTTCTTCCCCTCTGATAGTCTGGACCGTTCTGCCATGATCCATCTTGTAGGACTCTTGCACTGACACCTCTAGAGATTATATCAGCGATATTTTTGTCACCCGATATCCACCATTAATCTTGGGCGTCAGATGCCTGCTGTATCTCGCCAATCCGTGTCGCCACAAATGTCTTGAATCCATAACTTTCCTTTTGGATCATCGATCTCACGATTTCACTATCAACTATATACATGACTCTCTGAAACGACAGGCGTGTATCCTCCAATATTGTTTTGGCTAGCCGCACTGCAGCACTCAACTCTAACCGAACTATGCTGGTTATCTGGATAGGTGCGACTCTGCTTTTGCTGGCTACCAGTACCAAAGCGTATCGACCATTTTTACATAGGTATCTTGCATATGCAACTGTACCCATCGCCACCTCGGATGCGTCCGAGAACATGATTAAGGTTGGTTGGACGTCTTCTCGTATGCCTTTTGGTTTGATACATCTTGCTATCTTTATTTTAACACACGATTGCTGTTGCAGCACCATCAAAAATTGTGTTCAACCTTTTGCCTCTCTCTGCCTCAATTGAAATAGCCATCAGTAGGCATCCTCCTGGATTAACTGCCACGTTTGACGTTATCTCCTTCGTGTCTGGCTTCCACTGGAAATCAAAATGTATCGAATGGTGATGTTTTGTTTCGCACCCATCCTTCCCGCACAACCTTGTCTCTGTACACTTTATCACCCGGTGCCCACGTTGTAAACACTTAAAGCATGCACCTTTGTCTTTTAACAGCGCAATTCGCTCATTGACTCCTTTGTTCTGGTACACACGACAATCTGCAGTTAAGTGTTGCCCATTGTCATGTATGATACATGATGGTCGCGTTTGCCGGATGTCTGTGACCATAACTGTCTTGGTTTGCGGACCTAGGGGTTGACCTCGTAGCCTCTCCATAGCGTACTCCACGCTCCTCCTCTCCCTCTCCAGGAACTCCAATGGACCTGTCATTCTCGCCTCCTGTTGTATTGATTTTTCATTAATGTGTATATTCATTAATGTGTATATATACGTATATATATATATTTATATATATATATATATATGTATATATATATATATATATATATATGTATACGCGCATGTATATATGTATACGCGCATGTATATATGTATACGCGTATACTTTTTAAGTCATGTATCATGCATAGGAACGTTGATGCCTGCAAGCTGCAAGGCTCTGGTTTTTTTTTTAATCCAATTGGAATTTTTTTCTTTAATTTGAACCAATTCATTCCAATTGAAAACCAATTGAACCCTATTGAAACCGATTCATTTCCCAATTGGAACCAATTGGAATGAATTGGTCATTTTGGTAAGGAAATAGGCCAAAAATAAGAGGTTCTTACATTAGCTCTATTTGTATAATGTTACGTCACGATACCACATGATACTACTCTGTTGCAAAATGCGTTCAACCGGGCGCCATTTTCTCCACTGACAAATCGTTGATCCCAATTTCTAATGTAATTATTAAGATGTATCTTTTTCTTTGTAAATTTTAATTGATGATTAAATGTGTGTTCGATAACTAATATAATGCGAGCTTTTGTGTTTTTAGTACATTTTGATGGTAAAATATTAGATTTTAAAATGCCTTTTCCAGAAAGCCTATGAAGTATAGGCATAATGAACAGTAACCAGTCTGGTTGGCAACAAAGGCCGCTACCTGGCGTTGTGACGACACAACTGGTACTCTATACTGTAGTTCATAAACATTGAACCAATTCACAGTTGGATCTGAAGTTGTCAATAGACCGAATTAGCGACGAAAAATGACGTCATCACAATTTGGCCGAATGGGTATAAAATTGTAAACAGAGTCTAAAATTCCTATTCTATAACATTGCGAGTTTTTGTATGGGCCAGGAAAACAAGCAAAAAACCAAAGTATGCGGTTAAGATACTTTTTAAAACATTGATAGGTTAAAGGAAGGTTCATAGTCCACAATGGCCTTCCATAGCCCTATTGGCCTCCCATAGGCCCATTGTGTAACGACCTTCACATAAAGATAAGAAGGCATTCTACAAGTAGCAGTTCAATCTTCAACATCTATTCAATCTTACTGTGTACAAGGTGCTCATTATTTCAACCTTTTTCAATGTGTAGGACGATAAGACGTAAGTTTATATGTTAATTGTTTATTTTATGCTATTGGACCTAAATTTAGTATAGTTTTTATGAATTTATACACATATTATAATTAATTAAATGGATCATGATGAACAGTCATTAAGTTCAAATGTTAAGCTGAGATTGATCTAACTTTACAAGTGAATTACTTAGCCTCCTTTGTGATTACAGTACTTATGATTTAGTGTAGATAATAGTTTTTAGAGAATTATGTTTGAAACTCAGTACTGTACATAGTTGTACGATAGAGTTGGATTAAGGTCAAGGCAATTGTGAGGTCTCACTACAAAATGAGTCTCATCGTTAGAAAATCAAAAAATGAGTTTATATTATATTTTGGTAGATCACATTATAAGCTTTAATTTGGTCTTTGAATAGCTTCCCTAGGATAAATAGATCCAGAGATGTTAGCATTTAAAATTTAGGTGTATGAGAACCAGGTTTTGAGAAAATCGGCCTCAAAGATAAACTAACCTGTACAAATAATAGTACTAGAATTACAGAATATGCACAGAGAACACTGTTTTAGTAAGAAAATTCACTTAAAAAGTAAACAATCATAAAATATAAGTATTAAATATTTCGAAAACATTAAATTCAAAATTTTGTAAAAATGTTGCCTTTGACCTCTTTTGGTGAATATCTCAATATGATTTCACCAACAATGTGTCTCATTTCGTGGTGAGACCTCAAATTATTTTCCTTGGCAACAGTGAACAAATTTAATTTAGTATAAACTGGGATGTCCTTCCTTAATTAATGTGTTGTGCAGATGCTGTGTATCAGTATCCTGACCATTGTTTGCTATGTTTCTATACATGTGTAGTTAGTAGTAGTTAGTATACCTTTAGTTAAATTTAGTTGTTTGACTGGATGATTGCAAATACTTACAATGATGCTGTACATTTAGCAATATAATCTATTTTATTTAACTTACACTATTGTACTCTGAGCTAAGAATTACTATAGTCTATGATCTATATATTCCTAATTGTTTACTATTTTATTTACAGTTTATACCAGATCAATCAGATCAATTGGATTGTTAAATTAGATCGTTCAACGAAATTCTGCTATCAGATCCAGATCAATAAAATTAATCACCACAGTTATATCCGTGTTTGAGTCGTCATTGACCTACACCCCGTGATAGAGATCACATAAGTTTAAAGTCCTCATGAACTGCAAGACCCCGACTTGGTTATTAATGACTTATTTTGGGGTGCTACTGGGTTGGAGGAACTCCCGTTCGATGCAGCCCCACAGTCAAGAGGCACCGCAGAATCAGCAACTGTGCAAACAGATACCAGCACCATGGTGGAGACTACACAGGTTCAACATCAAATGCCCATACCAAGCGCTGAAATGCCAAAGGAAGATATTGAGTTACTAAACATTACAGCATCTGCCCAGATTCACACTGGTGAAACAACCGATGCTGTCAACACAACTATGCATGGTCATACATCCAAAGTTGCTCAAACACAGAGCATGCAGTCAATGAATGCCATCAACAACAGTGCAACTTTTCAGGATGCACAATCAATCCATGCAAATATACAGTTGCACAGGCAACTAATGTAAGAATTTAGACTATGAAGAATGCACAATCACACGACATGGCCAACGGAGCTTCACAAATTCGGAATGTGCAGACTTCCAGCATACCTGTCAATGCTAGACAGGTAAATGTGAGTGCTGAATCAAAACCTCAAGTTCAAATGAACTCATCCAATCAATTTACAGCTGCAACAATCGCCGAGCTTAACATGAGAATGTTAGCAGCTCAGGAAAAGCAGAGCGAGGCACTGTTAAGCCTCTGTAAACAACAGCAACTGCCAAACCCAACAATTCCACCGTATGGAGGCGACCCAACAGAATACTCTCAATTTATGAACTCTTTCGTCAATTTTGTAGAGTCGCGGCTCCCGAACGACATAATGAAGCTGCATTATCTAATTCAATATACCAAGGGAGAAGTCCAGATGCTGATGATAGTTGTTTAACTATGAAGGATGGATTCCAGCATGCAAAGAAAATGCTGGAAGACAAGTATGGAAGGCCATACATCATCGCAGCTGCCTACATAAAAAAGATTGTCGAAGCTGAGCCACTAAAGGCAGAGGATTCAAATGGTCTGAGGGAATTCTCAGTCAATCTGGCTGGGTGCATTAACATCCTAAAAGAAATAGTATGTTCTTCATAATTGGAATCTCCAGAAAATATGCGTAAAATTATCAGCAAACTGCCATTCAGACTACGGCTCGCATGGAGGGACTCCGTGGACCGCCTTATTCAGAAAGAAAAAAGGGACGTCAACATAAACGATATGTCGGAATTCATTGCAGATAAAGCAAGGGCAACTACACATCCAGTATTTGGTGTCGTAGAAGGAAGCAACAAACAAAAACAGCAGGGGCAGAAGGGAACTGTTTATGCTCAACAAGGAAAACCCAACTCTGCACCTAACTCACCAACCTGTCCTCTATGCTCGCATGGCCACTTCCTGCCCAGATGTGAAACATTCAAGAAAATGTCCTTAGGTGGTCGCTTGAATGTGATAAAGGACAAAAGGTTATGTAGAAACTGCCTGACGCCAGGTATTTCGCTTCAACTTGCTCTAAAAACAGTTTCTGCTAGCTTTGTTCATGACAAGCATTCAACATTTTTACATCCGACTAAATCAGCGACTACACCAGCCAATGCTGAAGTAAAATCGCCCGAAGCAAAAGACAAGCTGAATATGGCAGCAGGTGTCAAAGGATCAAGAATAGGGCTAGCAGTAGTGCCTGTTCGTGTGAAAGTGGCAGGCTTCAGCAAGAGTGTCGTCACTTATGCATTTCTAGACAATGGGTCCAACACTACCTTTTGTACCGATGACTTGTTGAAGAAACTCAATGCTAAATGCAGCCATGTGAACATGTCTTTAACAACAATGAACGGTGAGACACCTATGAAATGCAAAATGACCTCTTTGGAAATCCTGGATTTAGATGGTAATAATTGTACATCATTACCAAAGGTATATTCAAGACCCAATCTACCCATAACAAGATCGCTTATAGCAAATCGGGATGATTTAACCAAATGGCCACATCTGAATGATGTACTGTAGTTCTAAGAGATATCAAGGCCGATGTGGGATTGCTTATCGGGAGTGACATACCCCAATTTCTACAGCCATTGGAAGTAAGATCATCCTTGGATGGAGGTCCATATGCTACTAGAACTATTATGGGTTGGGTCGTCAATAGTCCGCTCAATGGTAATCCACATAACCCATCTTGCAACTTCATTGATTTAGACCATGTTTTCCTGGACAACCAGTTTAAGCAGTTTTGCAAGGTAGAATTCAGTGACATCAGCAAGTCAAGAATCGAAATGTCAACTAACGACAGAAAAGCGTTAGAAACTATGGAAACCAGTGCTACACTGAGTAATGGAAAGTATGTTATTGGAATGCCATGGAAGACCTATCCACCAAATCTTTCAAATAATCGTGCTGTAGCATACCGTAGGTTGGAGTCACTTAAGAGAAAACTCCAGAACAATAACGATCTACGTATGAAGTATACAGACTTCATGAGGGAGCTGTTAGATAAAGGATGTGCAAGAAAGGTAAACAACAAAGAATTAGGTGCTCCTGGCTGGTATCTCCCACATCATTCTGTTATCCACCCACAGAAACCAGACAAGGTGCGTGTCGTTTTCGATTGCTCCGCAAAGCATCAAGGAACGTGACTAAACGACCAACTTCTACAAGTAGCAGTTCAATCTTAAACATCTTGAAACATATATTCAATCTTACTGTGTACAAGTTGCTCATTATTTCAACCTTTTTCAATGTGTAGGATGATAAGACTTTAAACTTATATGATCTCTATCACGGGGTGTAGGTCAATGACGACTCAAACACGGATCAATCAGATCAATTGGATTGTTAAATTGGATCGTTCAACGAAATTCTGCTATCAGATCCAGATCAATAAAATTAATCATTACAGTTATATCCGTGTTTGAGTCGTCATTGACCTACACCCCGTGATAGAGATCACACACAGAACTATCAGAAGATACGTTTGATTTGATTTTCATGTAAAATTAAGTTAAATATACGTAGAGTTTTTACAGGCTAGGCCTCTGCCCCTGGCACTTGTTGCACGACAACGCGACATGGCTGGATGTGATGATTGAGTGAGGCCTGACTGTAAACGTTCAGCTCCGTGCTGTCGTCAAGTCTTTTACTTGTTAGACATCCAGTCTGCCAAAGTTATTGGTGTGAATTTAGGAACATTATTCAATAGTTTTGAATAACTTAGCTTTCCTTGAAATCTGCAAGTACAACACATTTCATGAGTTTTGCAACAAGTATATTCATCGGCCGACGTCATGATTCACTGTGAGTGAATACACGGCTGCCGTCGTCGTGCTGTAACACAGGCAGACGCGACCAATGTACGTTTTATTCTTGTTATATTTCACATTTGGCATACACAATCGTAGAGAAAAGATGACATTACATTCATAAACATGTAACAATGGTTTCTGTTAATTTAAGTCACACTCAACTTTACACACAAAGCGTGTATGAGACATTTTAGTAAAGGCTATCTTATTTTACTGTGTAAATCGCCTATTTTCGTGCGTTTGTTTTTGTTCGAATACCCACTATAGCTGAACAGCGTTGATCGCTAATTCGGTCTATTGTATTGTACTTTAAAAAATTCTACCTAAAAATCTTACCAAGGTCATTGATCCAAAAAGGAAGCTTTGGGCTGTAGGCTCAGTCTGGGTCTGCCCAGAGCCTCTGGTTGGATTCAAGGAGAAAAAGCCCAAGACGAGGCAAGGCACAGGGGCCCCCAGAGGCTCTGACATTCATATTTTTAATTCATTGAATGGATAACATTACTTACAATTAACATTAATCTCTACACAACGTTTTCAGAATATTTATCATAAAAGTGTATCAATTTACCTTGTGATCTTTAATTAAAATTATTTTACAATTTAACTCAGAGAAAATGAAAGTCTGCAAGCCCAGGGCTCTAGTTTTGACTTTTCCTACTTCAAAATTGATCCAAAATATTGGACACATAGATCTATCTGTATAACAGTGCAACAGTGTTTGAAGAGAATTCAGCTGTTATAAATTTATAAAGTATCTTCCAGAAACCATGGGTTTCACCAATTATGTACGTTTACACAAGAGTGAATAAAACAAACTCTGAAAAAAGGTGATACAAACCATTGTGATTCAATCATTTGAACTTTATTAGTTTGTTTCATTCTATCTTCCGTCTCCTTGTATTATAAGAAATACAATACATATTTTGAAGTATACAGTATGTTAAAATTTAAGAAATGTTTGAACCTATTTAATGTTTTGTTACAAAGGAACACCAAGAAATACATCAGACTGAAAAAAATGAAACAATTGAATTTAACAAAATATGGCATTACCAGTCTAGTCTCTGTATCAAGCTTAAAATCATAGTTTATGCTGTCATGCATTGAGATTTCTGTGGTTTTTTTACTCACTATAAGGCCATGTAAAAAATAAGTTGTTTGTTCGTGAACAGGGAGTTGTTGAGTGTATAAATTCCACCCGATCAAACATTACACTGGAAAGGCCTTGCCTTCCATGGGGGATTTGAAGACTTGGCATGTATCAAGGAGGTGGTTTCATTACAGATTACAAAAAAAACCTCCTTGCCTACCATTAACAATTACTTTTTTTAAATGGCCTAATTGAAGCGAGCGCACCCTCTAGTTACGTCCAATTTTCTTTCAGAAATAATAAATAATGAAATTATTTTCAGAACCAATTAGCATCAAAGCCATGGAGACTATCAAGTACACCGAGGGAGAAATTGCTCGTGTAGTGTGCACAGCAACGTCAAGCCCTCTACCAACAGTCACATGGTTTCTAAATGACGTGAACATTACAGACATCATAGCCCAAGGGAACACCAGTCACTACCAGGAAGTGGGGCGTAACGATGGACCACATGGTTGGAAGTCAACCCTAAGAGTCTTGGACCTCTCATTTGCCGATGCTGGCCTCTACAACTGCTCTGCCTTTAATGGAGTCATTCATGAGTACAAGACAGTCGACCTTAAAGTCCAAGGTTTTTAACAATTTTTGTTTATTATCGTTTAATTGGGCAGTGGTTGCGCCAGAGGGGGCTGGGGGGCTATAGCCCCTCTCGGGAAAGCTTAGCGCCCCCCCGTCGGGGAATAACCAAGTAAAAAAAAAATATTTACTGTACATGTAATATTCGTTTAGCCACGATATTGTTTTCATTGAACTATTTGTGTTAACTTTCCATCACAATAATGATAAATAATAATAATAATAGTTCAATGAGACTAATTAAAAATGATTTGCGTTCTGTTATGACAAATGCTCGTTTGGATAGCCTCAAGATGCTTGGAATACATCGTGATAGAGGAAGCAACCTCGACCTTGGCAATTTCTAAAATGTAGAATTTAATTTGAAAAATGAGGATTTGAATATACATCAGATGATAACAATGCATACTCTTTGTTTCTTGTTTTATTCAAAATGGTTTTTAGTTTTGGAAGCTGAATTTGACATTTGAAAACATACATGAAGTCATATTATAGTAGCTCGATACGTATCAAATATATAAGTAATACAAATTTGCCATCATCATATACCACTGACCACCACTAAGGCCCTGTGCGGCCCCCTGGTCCCAGCCAAGTGTGGCTCGCTTCACTCACCTAGTTCCCCCCACCCCCTTTAGCCCCTCCGTCAGGCAGATCCTAGTGCCATCACTGTAATTGGGTAGGATACATTTTCATTAAAGTTACCATGTACAGGAAGCAAGTAAACTGTTTTTTGTGAACTTGCATATAAAAATTGCTTTGTATCACTTATTTCTTAATTTCTAGCTTCAACACACCACCAGTGGTAGCTCCAAATGCCAATGGGTCCTACAGTAAAGTATAAACTAAGTGGGTGGGGAAAGATTTTATGATATTTTAAAATTATAATATGAAACTATTAATCCAACAATACCTACAGTAAAGTATAAACCAAGTGGGTGGGGAGAGATTTTATGAAACTTTAAGATTATAATATTATGAAAATGTTGCTCACCCATCTGTGAAAGTCCCTCCCGAGTCCCCTTTTTTTAAAACCTAGATTCGCCACTGGATACTTGTCCTACTGGGGTCCTCTGACCTCCTCTGGTGCCTCTGTTGCACAACACAAGGGAGCAGTTAAATATAATAGTTCAGTGCACAGCACAGTTCTTTCCAATTAAGACTAGCCTTGCTAAACTTGCAATGCATTATTGATTTGAGTAATTAAAAAAAATCCTGATGATTACATAATTAATGTTGAAATATTGAATACCAATTTCGATACTTGGAGTATGTATTATAATCTCTTATCTGAGATTAATCAGTGGACCTTTTGGTTTTAAAAAAATTCAGTTTGCATATTATAATTGGCAATTCAAGGAATGCACATCTCATAAGGAAGCGTTATCTTTGTATAAATTTGTGCAAAAGAAGTTTTTAAAAGTCAGAAATGTCCGCAGTTGGTTTTAAAAATGGTAGGTATCACATGAGGATTGCCATCCCAAAGACACCATCAGTGACCAAAAAATGAAAATTGACTTTTTAATATTCTTGTTCTCTACATTGTTAGCTAAAATGATGGGTCAATTACTGGAATAGACTTACTATTGCCAGATTTATGAGTAAAGTATTATTACTTCTCTGTACTAAAGTATACAATACTGCCCAATTCTTATGGTAATTACTCAGTTTTACATTTAGCAACAGTATGCTGGTTTTGAAATGGCTAGACTGATGATGAATAGCATAGCAATAAATCAAAGTTGGAATATTGATAATTTATAATTAGAAACTTTGGCTTTAACTATAAAATCACTCTTCAGAACACCTTCAGCATAACATCACATCTTTAAACCAATATCTCATTTACAAACATTATCAAAACATACACATTATAGTTTATACTAATGTCGTTTGTAGTGGAATTAAATGAATGATTAGATTGATTTACTCTGCTATTCATATTGGTATATATGCAGATTACTGTGTAAAGTATCTATAAATTATTTATTCTTATATGTAGATCGCATGGCTGCTGTGTGGCCCTTCTTGGGCATTGTTGGTGAGTGTTCATTCCTAATTATTGTGATCCTGATTCATGAGAAGTGTACTGAAGGAAGTTATGATGAAGATGAGTATAATGAAGAGACAATCAAAATGTAAGTATTGAAATGTCGCGGCTACCAATGATTATTGTTATTCATAATTGTTTTGAGTTTTCAGAAACTAGTCTAAAAACATAATAATATCCATGGAAGTAGGAATATTTTTGGTGTGAATGACACCAAGGATAACCCACTAAGTCTGAAGAATTGTTTCCAGTGGGTCCTTCTAGTGGTGAATAGCGTAGTACAACTGGAGACAATCCCCTACTGTACTCTTTTTGGAAGAGTGTACTGCATTCTTTAAAATGCACAGGACCAATGGCCTAAAAATCTCACCTGAAAGACTGTGCGCTATTGTAACTTGCATTTCAGCCCTCCATCTGACACACAAGAGGAGAGCAGCAGATAGAATTAAACCATTTGCACCAGTGTAGCCAACTGAGCTAAGCTGCTCTCCTCACCCCTATGTGCTTCATTCATGTAGTCTGTTTTTGTTGGTAGTTAACTGGCAATGCGTAGCATCATTTTACTGAATTGTGTTTGGGTGTGTTCAGTAAATATCATAGCTGTCATAGAGATTCACCCAGTAGTCCCATTCTTTCACAACAGTTGGAGAATAAGTGACCTAGAGCACTGGGGTACTCTGGAAGGTGGGTTCTTCAAAGTTACAAGCTAGATGTAAACTGAGGCCCCATCTTTGAGTCCACATGCTAAGACATAGTTCTACCAACCAACCAACCATAAACAAGGATAGTCTTGAACAAGTGTTCATGTAATAGTTTGCTAACCCCTACAGTGCTTGCAGCTCCCTCCCTTGACTTGACTGCTTTGTGCTTTCTATCCTAGGTGCATTTTCTCTAGTGTACAATTTCACAATAGAGTAAATGTATTTACAAGAAAGAATGCCAATTTTAATTAAAATATTTACAAATACCGTATAGTCTTGATATGTTTTTTTTTTTTTTCAGAAACAAAAAACATGACCATACAAATGAAAAGACTGAACTTAGAGACAGAGAAAACTGATCAAGATAGGTGAAAGGTGAATCAACTCCTGCAAGATTTTGTTTTAAAATAAATGGCAATAATATTTCAATATATTTCTATGAACATGAAAACAAATTAATTTTCATTTACTGAAAAGACAGTCATATATGTCATTGTTATTTTGCCTGTGAAATACTCTTCAAATGATTCTCATAATTGCTTATTTTACATATTGTATATCAATCTCAAGTCTCATAATAATATCAATTAAAAATAATTGTTTGAATGCATACAATGTGCAACTGCTCATGAATATTCTTACCATGCATGAATGTTCAGCACTGACATAAATATATTCAACACAATGGCAGCACCAATGGGGGGGTGTCTAGTGGGGTGAAGTGTTGTCTAGTGGGGCACAGGATACTGGGGTTTGAGGCGGGTGTGGACACATATCAGGGATTTTGGATCTATTGTTGGGGAATTTGGACCCCTGTCAGAGACCTTGAACCCTGTTGAACCCACAAATGTGAAAATGCCCACAAGTGTAATAACAACCACAAATGTAACAACACACCGCCCACAAATGAATAGCGCCCACAAATGTAACAAACAGCGCCCACAAATGTAATAACGATCATCGTCCACAAATGTGATAACGCCCAAAAATGTAACAACAAAACATGACCTCTTTGCCCACAAATGTAATTATTTTCTTTTAACTTCGAATGTAGGAAATCAGACAGAAAAATCACCAAACTACGCATTTTGTGACAGAAGCATGACATTTTTAGCGTTTGATTTATGACGCGTGTGAACAACAAAAACAAGTCTGGGAGGGGCTAAAAGTCAAAGGTTCTAGGAGGGGTAACTTATGTGCCAAAGGTTATGTCATTTTCCGAAAATATGTCTCATTGGAAGAAATAGAAACATGCATATAGGCCTAATGAATATTTTGAAAGAAAAATTTTTTTTAGTGGTTAGAAGAGTGTTTTTTTTCATTATTTTTTTTATGGGGACAATATGCAGGGGAAATTTATAGGAGGAGATGTAGGCAGTGGTATGCACTCTCCAAGTGCCCTCTAGTTACATTTGTGGGTGCCTTTTTGTTACATTTGTGGGCATTATTACATTTGTGGGCGGTGTGTTGTTACATTTGTGGTTGTTATTACATTTGTGGGCGTTTTCACATTTGTGGGTTCAACAAATCTCTGGCACCACCCCAATTCAACCAAGAAGAACATTCAGATTGTGGCAGTGTGTACCCTAAATGAGGGCAGCTAGACAAAATAAATGTAGCAAAGTATATATGATAAGATAAGATAAGCTTTATTGGTCTATTCACATATTGTGGAAATTAAAACCACAGCTACTCCTGTATGTATACGTGGTAGATGTTATCCCTCCCACTTCATATCATTTCGAGAAATTAAGTGATCAGTGGTGGATCTAGGGTTAAAGATAATGGTGGGGGTTGGGTGGTTGAGCACACATAGTGGAAAATGTCGTTTTGAAGAGGGGTTTTGCTGGAAATTGCTTGCTTCCTAAATGCTCAGAATGTCCTGCAGAGGGTCTTTTATGACATTTCTATAATATTTTCGGGTTTTTTGTTTTTTTTCTGTGTCGGTAAATATATTTTTTATGATTTAATTGTAAATTTAGGTGTGAATTATAGACACAATGAAAAGCATTTGTAAATTATAACATTACAATTTCTGGACATCTAGAGGTGTGCCATATTTTATAAAAATTATATTTTGATGGATTTAAAAGGGGACTGAAAAGGTTTTGAACCAGGTGCACTTAAATGACATATTGACTTTTAAGGAATTAAACTTGTTTGCTAGGTGAGAGAGCTATTTGCTTAGCCTAGACTTATGGAATGGAAAATGTGGGTAGTAGTTAGCTACCCTCTTCACCACATTCATTTGCCCCTGGTATTATTATGGTACAGTAATTGGTTTTAAATTATGGCACAAATAAATGGGGTTTTTTTTTCTATACTGTACTGTATGTATTTTAAGGTTTTCTGAAAGGATTATCACAATCTTTGTTTTTCCTGTGTAATAAAAGAACAGTATGTTTATAACATATTGTATTTGTTTATTGTGGTAATATATAAATTATTAGAGTATAAAATTTTTGAAAGCGGAATTTATATATGAAATTAGTATTTTGAAATAATTGTGCACCAATATATATTTGAATATTATTTAAATTGGATTATTATCATAAAAAGACATTTAATTATAACATGTAGTTTTGTAGTTTATAGATTTTTACGGTACAGGATTTTGATAAAAAATAATAAGTGATAAAAGAAACACATTGATATTTCAGATTTATATTAAGGACCCAAGTTATTAATTCAATTGTTTTAATTGTTTTGCTATTCAGTGTAAAATCACATCAGCCACATGGAGTGTATTTTAATATGAGGTGTCAATATGTGTGAATAAATAAAACGAATATATATATATATATATATATAGGGTACAGTATAATAATAATTTGGTCAAGTATTAATGTATTGAATGTAAACATTTTGTTGTATACTCTGCATCATATTTTTATGTTTAGGTGAAAAGACAATAATAATATAATGAAATTTATATTTTTTTGGTTTTCTTCTGTCAATTTTTTTTTTCTTTTTGTTTTGAGAAATTTGCAAAATGAAGACTAGTATAATATATGTATTTACTAATATGGTTTACATGGATGTACTAATTATTTTTATTCATATGAAATGTGTGATGTGCTGAAAATAAAACTTATTTGGGATTTAATCAAGTATGTTGTTCAGTTTTTACTACAGGTTGAAGGTTATAAAATGTAAATATTGGCAAATATGAATCTGATTACCAGGGAAGATGGTGTAATGTGATACAGGCCCGTAGCCAGGTCATTTCAAGGGGGGGGGGTTCTCTGGGCGTGGGGTCCAGAGTGTGTATAAGAGACAGGGGTCCAGAGGTGGCACCAGGATTTGCCCGGGGTGGGGGGGGGTCGGTGCCCCGACGAGGGGCCAGATTTCCCCCACGAAAGCAAAGTGGGCGTGGTCGAGCTTCAATTAATAGGTTCCAAAGGTGGTCCTGGGGGTGAAGCCCCCGAAAATTTTGACAATTCAGGGGTTTCCAAAGGCTTATTAAATCGATATTAGAGTCCGCCCCCCGCCCCCCCACTGTTGCCACCCCTGGTGGGGTTCAGGTGCCTGGGGCTACGGTGGGGTCGGGGGCTAAGCCCCCGAAGCCAGAGCAGTTTTTGTGTTTAATGGGTCTATAATAATGTTATAAAAGCAGTTTGGCCTATGTTTTGAAAAAGATCTATGTAATGAAAAGGTGGTAATATAATAAAATTAAAAATTA